CCATCCTGTATAGCTCGCAGGGTCATGGAGGCACGCAAGCCATCACACCACGTCAAGGTGCAGTCTCGTCGTGATGGATTACCACGAAATAGTGAAATGGTTATTTGAAATCCTGGAGCCCGGAAGAAGTTCACTAGCGACTTACAACCTGAGGAACACTGTTGAATCACTAGATGTATCAGGAAAGCACAAGTTTCATCTGGATATGGTCTCTCCATTCACCACCTTACCCCTCGGACAAACCGTAGACTGCCTATGCAAACAGATCGAGCGCAGGTGTATGAATATGGCTTTACCCATTGAGGACTTTCGCAATCAAATTTACCTATGCACGTATAATGTACAATTCCATGTCAATGGGGAGACGTACTGTCAGGAACACGGGATTGCGTTGATTTCTCCCTTAAGTACTCTCTTGGCCGATGTATTTATGGCGAAATCAGAAACTGAAGAACTGGATGGACACATGAAAGAATGTCTTATTTCGCTATGTAGGTGATATTTCCTGTGTGGTCGATTCCTCCACGAATCCCATTGTTCTGTTAGACCAACTTAACAAAGCTCATAAGAATGGAAGATTAACGCTGGAAATAGAATCTTCCGAGGGGTTGGCGTTCCTTGATGTTTTCCTCTCGCGCTGTGAAAACGGATCTCTTTGAAGTAGCATTCACCGTAAGCAGACTTACACATGACATTACACAAATTATCAGTTTGGTACCTCTGCAGCAAAAGAAGGCATTGATTCGATGCATGGTGAACACGACAAGGCGAGTATGTTCGCCTGATTCATGTGAGGAAGAACTGCCGAAAATCAGGACGATTATCATAGAAAATAGATATCCAGATAGAATCATTCGACAATGTATGAAGGCCACCGCAAAAACGCAACTTAAGATGGTGGCAAAAAAGAAACCAATTTATTTGTCCATTGCCTTCAAAGGGGATACGTGATCTGGAACGTTAAGTAGGCTACTCCAGACTGCTGTCAGAAACATATTTTTCCGATGACTTATGCATAATTTACACTTCCAAACCAGATCTCTCATCGCAGATGAGACAAGTTACCGGTCGAAATGATCTCATTCTGTATTTCCCAATTTGTGTTCCTGCGGAACCACTTACATTGGTCGTACCACCGGGCGCTTGGCCGAACGCTCTCGAGAACATCGCCCCAGCTGGCTCAGCCGTAGATTGACGAGAACCGGGGGGACGGCAATCATGGCTCATTTGGTCGAAACCGAACGTGTCCGAATGAGCAAAGCGATCAAGCCCATCTACACGATCACTGGGGTGAGATCAAAGCAGGTCAAGCATCGCATATTGTCGACAGCCGAAGCGATCTCGATTCGGTTGAACTACCCCTCCCCCTTGTGCGTTTAAAAGCAGTCAGTTAGAGCTCTGGACTTACCATAGCCAGTCATAAACGTTCGAGCGATATAAGGCCCGTTATCAAATTAGCGCCATCGTTTATTTATTTGATTCATCCGGCAGTACAAATGACATTTGCAGAAGGGTTTGAACTCTCATGCACTTAACACTATATTATCCATAATACCCATGCACACGCACACAAACACAGACGTGATTTAGCATTTTCTGTTTCTTTAAATTATGCGATTTTGTAGCCTGTAAAAGAGTGCCGTATTTGGCTAATAACTGATGCATCGAAAACGAGATTGTTTGCCACATTGGCTTCTTGACATTTATTTATTATTTACCGATATCGACACCCAAAGTCCTAGCACCAACAGACCCTCCATCGCACCGCTTAACATTGTCCCTCCAA